CGTTGAAGTCCTCGGGTCTGGTTATGGAGAAGGCGGTCTGGACGGGGACCGACTCGTCAGATGGTCGGGCGTCTTCCTCCGGTTCTCCTGTCTCCCGGGCGTCACGGTGAGGAGCGTCGTTTCGCCGGTACTATGCAAGCCTCCCTCCCTTGATGAGGGTCTCGATGGCGTCCTTGAGGTGGACGCAATCCTCAGTCAGATGACCATGGCTCCTATGGTACTGACAATATTTGTTCTTGTCTGCTCCGGGCTTGGCGGGAGCAGGTCGAGGACGTTTGACGCCACCGTCCTTGAAGTCCATGGTGGCACACTCCGCCAAAATGCGCTCGCGGGAAGCTGTGAGTGGAGAGTACTCGGTAAAGCGCCCCGAGGGTCCCCGTTTCTCCCGGACTTCCCGGGGTCTGTCTTCTTTTATTTTCTCCACGGTTCGTCGAGGAGGAGGAGCTTCTTGGCGCGAGTTGCTGTTGGACCCGCAAGTCCTGGAGTCTCGGGCTCGGTTGGCCGCCTCTCTCTCCTCATAATCCATGTACGCCCGGGCTTTTTCGAGGAGGGCATCGAATGTTCTGGGTGGCTCAATGCCCACGGCCTTTCTGAACTCCGTGCCGGGGAGGAGCCCCCTCTCCAGCAGATATCTCTTCATATGGTCCGCGCAGGGGACCTGTATGGCTTCGCGGTTGAAGCGATTGGTGAACTCTCTCAAGGTTTCATCCTGCCTCTGGATGATGGCCTCGAGAGCCGCCTCGGTCTTCGGGTGTCGCCGAGATGCTGTGAATGAACTGATGAACTAGTTCTTCAGGTTCCGCTACGAGGTGATTGACCCCGGGGCGAGTCCTTTGTACCAGTCCATTGCTGCCTTCCTGAGGGTCGTGGGGAAGAGGCGGCATTTGATGGGCCCCCCGACATTGTGATAGTGCAGCATAGCCTTGAACCCGTCTATGTGGTCGACCGGGTCCGCGACTCCATCGTATTCCTTCAAGTGTGGAGGCTTCTCCATGCCCGGAGGGATGGGCGCCTCCATGATAGCCTGCGACAGGGGACCGCGGGGGTCGTCCTCGTCGCTTCGTTCCGGGGACAGAGACGGGGACCTTTAATACTGTCAAGCATGATGGTCCTGGTCGTGTTGGGTATCTCTCGAGCGTGGTGCTCGCTGATTGGTTCTCCCACGCCCATCTCCGGAGTGTCTTCTTTCCTGTCTCGCGGGGGCGCGGCCCCGTCCTCCGGCTTCGGTGATGTGCTGCCTCTCCAAAGGGGGACGTCTCCCCGTTGGGAGGGGGGACGGGCTTCGAGAGGTATCCCTGTAATGTCTTCGCGGGGGAGATGGGAAGTGGACTTCAGTCGCCCGAGGAGGTGGAGTCGGGGGCCTTCGGTGCCTCCTCGGGGGTCTCCGATCGTCTTCAAGTTCCCTCAATCTTTCCCCTTGGGCGAAGATGAGGTAATTTGTCTGATTGATCGCTGCGAACAACGCTCGGGTTGTGGCATCCGCCTCGGCGGGGACGGGGACTTCCTGAAATTGGGCAGCCCGTTAATTTGCGAGAGCTGCATCGTCCTATTCGAGTGGCAGAGGGATAGAGGATGATGAAGCGGTAGCTCCGTCGCGGTGGATTGAAGGTCCGGGGGAAGTTGAAATAGGGATGGTGTTATGATCGGGGTTGCCGGTGTTGTCAAGGTGTCCGTTTTTGTCCGCGGGGCCGCGGTTGGTGTCGACGACGCGAACATTTTGTTCATCGCGAGCTTGGTCAGCCATGACAGTGGTAGTTGAGTCGAGCTTTAGTCTTTGAGTTGTTTGTAAGACGGGGAAGCTAGTTTCCCATAGACGGCGCCACTGATCTTACCTGATCAGACCTGGACCGTCACGATTGGCTCCGAGCTGAAGTTGAACGAGATGGGGGGGGGGGGGGGGTACCTGCAAGGCACTCCGATGCTAAAGTAAGTGGGAGTACGAGCAGGCAAAAAGTATGAGTATGGGTAAGAGAATGAATACCTGACCCTCTGGGAACAGAGGGTATTTATAGCCCCCAGTGCTAGGCCAAGGTCCCTTCATTGGGACGGGCAGGTTTGGCCCAATGAAGGAACTGCCAGGTTCTACGTGTGTAGTGGGGACCCGCACGTGGTCTCCTTCCTGGATGTTCTGCGAGAAGTACGGACGGACGAGGACGCGGTCTTTTCGGGATCCAGGTGATGGTGTAGTGGTCAGAGTCTGCCCTACGAGGGGCGCTCGAGCTGAGGTCGAGCTGGACTGTATAAAGTCGAGGATGTCGTACCAACGGAGAGTGTCAGGCACGGCTATGAATTCTTGGTCGATGCGACCCCCTGCATGGCCGTTTGGATTGGGTCTTTATCCTTGCTTTTGGGCCAGCCCGGCCCAGTCCAGAACAACTTCAAATCAATTATTGGTAGTATTTATGTACTTGGTATATATATTTTTATAAAGATAAAGTTTATCTTATACAAAATTATATGGGATAAAAGTGTTGTTAACATTAAAAAGAGTTTTCAAATATACTAATGAAAAAAGGGGAAATATTCACCTCAATTTTATGGAGTGCGTCCCATAAGATTGGGGTGAATATTCATATCATCCCTTTGTAATTCAGTCACACATCCTATTTTTATCAAAATTTGATCCTGAGATGAATCTCTGAATATTATTCTGGGTGTATCCGGAGATGTATCTGTGTAACACTCTATGTATTAATTTATGGTGTTTTTATTTACTAAGTTGTTTTATTTAACAACTCAGTGATGATTTTGGAGATGTATATCCGGAAACGTCAAGCGGGAAATTGGATAAAACATTACCTTGAATATTATTCTCCGTCATGATCAAAGGGAGCTTCATAATGAGATGCAAAAGAAGACAATTAATTGTAACAATGAGATGCAAAAGAAGTGGCTCGTACTAACCACCGATTAGGAAGTTGAAACGCGATGACATCAAATTGAGAATATGTGAGTGTTTGTTTAAATCGCACGGATACCGTAAGGTGAATGATACATGGAAATTTAATGTGGTTTCTAGTATACATAATTATTCCTTGAATGGCAAGCTAGTCGGTCATCCCATTGTATGTCGACTTATTTCGAAGGAGAAGGAACTTGTTTCAGACATGACATTTAACATGGTGACAAGCTAGCCGATCATCCCATTGATCGGATCACTTTCTGGAAAGGATGGAAGAGTTCACCAAGTTGAGCAACATTGAAAAAGAATCAAATAAGGAAAGGTCAAAGAAGGATTCACCAATAGATTTAGGTATTGACACATGTTTTGATACATTTTAGTTTTTATCAAACAATGTAACTCGTTTTTTGTATGAAATGTTGTCAATGATATAATCTCGATACAATTTGATACATACATAATGTTTGTTCTACTTTAATGTTATATAATTTAGGGGTAACATTTGGACAAAATTTTCGATTTTAAAAATTTTCTCTTCATATTATACTTGTTATGTATGAATAGTGGTTTTGGGTGAGTCTGAATATGCATATCCGGACACACACCATTTGAATTGTTAAAAAACAAAACAAGTGATTTTACAAATGTGCATCTTCGTAAGCACCTTTATTTTGTAAAAAACAGGGCGTGTCTGGAAATGCATATTTGAAATATGCCCAAATGAAATTTTCCATAATGAAATATGCCCAAATGAAATTTGCCATAATGAAATATGCCCAAATCTCTCAGCAGTTTAGAAAATAGGAAATCCAAACAGAATACTCTCATGCGATATCTAAAAAATTAGAAAATTATCAAGCTCTAGTATCGTTCACCTTTGGATTGACGACGAAGGAAATATGTGGTTCATCAAGCTTCAACGGAAGACCGATGAGTATTTAAAGGTTATGTGGAGTATATTTTACCGTTACTTATTAAAGGATCTGATTGAAATGGATGCGACGATTGCAGGGTCAATCAAAGATAATCTAAAGATGTTGCAATGTCTCGAGCCATCCATTTCTAATGAAATGTAATGGTAAACGTATGTTGACGATTATCTATGTAATGTTAAGTATTTGGATGTTAATTTGTGTTGTTTTTCCAACATTCTGCAATTGTTTCTGGTTGTTTCTAGTTTGACTTAACATAAAATATTTCGGAAATATATCTCCATACTTTATGAATTTTGAATTAAGAATTTTTACGAAGATGCATCTCTAGACTCACTCTAATGTGTGGATACAAAGATGCATCTCCAGACTAAATTTTAACAAAATAAGGTTGACTCGTCAATTTGCTCTAGTGGATGGAAAAAAGTAGGGGTGGCAAAATGGACCCGGCCCGTTGGGCATGTCCGTTTTGTCCGCACTTTAGTGCGAGGCAAGTCTAGAATTTACGCCTCACTCACTAATGTGTCCGTTCCGTCCCGCCCCGTTTTCTTCGCGGGCTTTTGCTGGCACGCGTATTAACATAAAAATTTTATATTTTTAAGCTTAAAATGTATAATGCCAGCGGGCTTTCCCCGATCCGCACTCACTTTTTGGTGGAGCTGGCCTAGATTTTAGACCCTCATCCTCAACTATGATTGTCCCGCCCGTTTTTTTGCGGACTTTTACAGGACGGGTCTAAACGAGACGGACATGCCCGTTTGCCACCCTTAAAAAAAAAAGTCCAAATATGCATCCCTGAAAACTAGAAGCATTTGTGAATTTTCACTATTGTAAAGAAGCACTCTTGGAATTTGAAGAACAGCTCTCTAAAAAAATGATCTAAAACTCCGACCCAGCTCTAACTTCCACCCAAGTATTGAGAATTCCAGCTTATGCCTTTGGCTAAAGTTATAAGTTTTGTTCAAGCCATGATTTAGATTTTTCAAATCAAAATTCAAACATGCTATGCATTAAGTCAAATGAAAACATGCGATAAAAGAAAGTATATAGACTTAAACAAACTTAAAGATATAGCAACCAAATGTTAATTAAAACTAACTAATTAACCTCCCTAATGTTAATGTTACTAAAAATAAAAATAATATAAAATCATATAGCAACCAAAATCAAACATTTCCTGTAACATACCCCACAGCTTCCTTATAATTGTTCCACAAATCAGTGACCATATTTGACATCATATCAAACACTTCCTCAATTAGTTCTGGCACCTGTTTCAATGATTCTTCAAACGAAGTCTTCAATTTCTCTGCAAGTTCAGCAGCCATAGACCCCGTGGCAGAAACTGATCCTGTGATTATATCTGTAACAGCATCAAACACTAAAGAGACTATAGAATTTATTGAACCAATTAATAACTGAAGGATGAACTCAAAACATGCTCTTATGATCTCAGCAACTTGTTGAAATATTCCAAGTGAGCCTTCACCAGAACTTTTTAAACCTTGAATTAGCAACACAATTGTGTAAGCAATAGTGTTGAAGACTACACGAGTTAATAAACTCCATAGTGTTGCCACAAGAAATGTAATTGGTTTTAGAAGAAGAACCAACATCGACAAAGGTTTGAGTACAATTGCATAAACAAAGAAAATTTATAATTTTCCTAAGTATTGAAAGCTTCAAAGTCATATTTGTATATGAATTGTTTATAGAACAAGTAAACTCTTAGAAGTTAAATAATTGGTTAGAGAAGTTTCGAAGAATAAGCTAATGGTTTAATTGTTGCTTACACACTGATGAAGTTAGAAACTTGCAAGTATGTAACACGCAAATTGCTATATAATATTCAGAACTTAGTAATTCATTAATCTTGAAAGAGATGGTTAGATTTTTTTTGTATGCTTGGAAGCAACTCTACTTCATATACGTCGGATTCATGTAAATCTATTTATTTTAGTTCATAAGATGTTAGTTGAATAATAGTATCACGTTAAGTATATATAATTCACTTATTAAATTACATTTGTGTAATATTTGACTACTCTAATCAATATTATTTGTGATACTTTTAATTTAATATTTTTTATTTTATAATGTATGTTTTGGACCGTTTGCAAGATTTGTCGTAAATGGCTTAAGAGCGAATCTAGAGTATAAAGACATCCAGAATAGGTAGACCTTCGCTGAGGAAAGAGCCCAACATGTCACATCACATCACACGCGAGCGGTTTCAACTGTTTTTGATATAAGAGTAAAACACGTCATTCAGGTATTCAATTTCATTCTCAATAACAAATTACTCTTCATTTCTTTTACTGACTTCGACGTTAGAGTGCTAATCCTGTATGTTTTCTCTGCTCTTTCACATCAGATGTGCGCTCCACCGTAGATCACCAATCTTCTTTTTTGAAGTTTCAATCTCCTCCTCAAACATATCTATTATCGGATTCCTCAAGCATGGTGACATTCGAAGTTATTCGAAGCATGTAAAATCCGTTTGTGATGAGATGATAGTTGTTGGAGAAGTCTGGGAGATCAGAAAGTGTCAATATTAATAGGCCACACTAAGATTTACTTCCACTCCCCTACCGAGTCAACTAGACTCTAATACTACTTGTTGGGGAAATCCAGGAAGCGAGATCCAAACGTCTCAATGTGTCAAACGTTCATGGTTACAAGAGACCTGGACACCACATATTCACCTAAAATCTTAAGATATTGGAGGAATGATCACTACTCTTATAAACCCAACATCTCTTTCATTCTTAATTGATGAGAGATTTTATACTTTCACACTTGAAACCCAATAATACTTTCATTCATTGACTCAGTATTGGTTAAATCATTTACTTGTTAACATCAAATTAAAGAACCATATGTAAGACATGATTATAAATGTATTAGAGATAAAATAAACCTCTGTCATATAGGTGTATCAATGATATTGTTGTGATAGATGCAAGTGGAGTATACTTTCAATGTTGTGCAAAATTCTCTCAGGCACTTTAGCACCTTCAAGACAACCGAGTTTATTTCATGTGCTCGTCGTAACAGGCTAATGACTTACAATGTTTACATAACTTTGTTGGCTTCCCCGAACAACGCTTTTTCTTCAAAGAATGGACTGAATTTCTATGATTCTGATAATCGGTTTGAGCGTTCATAACTTTTATTGGTGTTGTTGCACTCCCTTCCAGTTGTACCCAGGTCATTGCAGACCAGAGCATTATTGGATCTTCTACTTTTGGTTTACAGCCATCCTGAAAATAGAAACATTATAGTGGATATGGAGGAATGACCACAATGGATTTTGGAAATCCTGATCTCAACTATGAGGTGGGTCCAAAAAATATTGCTTCGATAGCTACATATATGGTTAAGTTTGGATCTGATGTGTGTACCCCGCAATATATCACCAATGTAATATATGCCAACACTTTAACTCTAGAAGAATCATAACACTTTTCTCAATGAAAAACACTATTGGGGGCTAGTGAACAATTCAACGAATGTATAGCCGTCAATGCCCCAGTGTCTCAAAATTTCATTGCTCTTAGAAATACTATCAAACATATGGCAGTTGCAAATGTATAACTAATATGCATAGCCGTTTTGAAGGCATACAAGACACGTTACTGTATAGAATTTTATAATTAAATAAGATCTCATAAAATATTTGTTAGATTAAATAATAATTAAATAAAATCTCTATTTATTTTATCATGGTTAAATTATAATTAATCGAGTCTGTAAAAACTTAAAACAACTCTATTAATATATCTTATTTATTAAAAATGAAGTAAAACGCATAATCAATTTTGAAAGTAACACGGCTCTATAAATATGTGATTACTTTATATTCTCAGGGTCAGACAAATTTATACATGTACAGGATTATTTTTGAAAAAATTAAACTAAATTTATATTGACTTGCCATCTTTAAAAAATTTCATACACTATTTAATTTAAATTATTATTTTTATTATATTTATAATATAAGAAAATTAATATTCTGCAACAACACAAATAGTTAGTAACCAACTATTTTCTTTTTAAAATAAAGAAACTTTGCTATTTTTTAAAGTACATCTATATCAGTTTTTCTCAAAAGTATGTCATTTCCTAAACTTATTATGCTGAAAAACTACGATGCCTCTCACATTTACACGCATCAAACTATTCTTCATCAAGCTACATGTTTCACTTTTGCGGTCATCTCTCTCTTCTCATCAAACTGCTCATTTCATTTCTCTCATCTCATTCTTCAACTCACCCATTAACCTTCTGCTTAATCTTCACCTTTCCATATAGTCTGAAACTCTCAATTGTGATTCCACTTCAAGATGACAAGACCGTTTGAGCTGGTGAAGGACATCAATGATACTAAGGAACTATGTAAGATAGCTGTGAGAGTCCATCACAAATGGACTATTATCTCCAGGAGTAAGTATGTTGAGTAAACTTTGATGTTATTAGTAATAAGTTTTCATATTAAATATGATAGTAGGAAGATTAAGAGCCAATGTAATTTGGAAGGACAAAAGTTAGTAAGTTATGATAGTTTTATTAGTAGCAGTTATCTTTTGGAGTTGTAAAAGTCATTAGGTCTATATAAGGACCAAGAGTGTATTTTATTTAACAAACAATATAAGAAGGTTTGTCTCTTTCTAATAGAAAAACACATAACGAAGTCTGCTTCTTTATATCAATTTGGCATCAGAGCTCATGGCAAACATGATGAATCAAATGTCGTTGCCACAGCTAACGAAGTCAAATTATGAAAATTGGAGTATCCAAATGAAAGCTCTTCTTGGATCTCTAGACGCGTGGGATGTGACCCATGAAGGGTTTGAAGAACCAACAGAAGTTGGGGGATATACGGCAGCTCAAACGAAGGCGTTGAAAGAGACGCGATCAAAGGACAAAACGATATTATACATGTTGTTCAGGGCTGTAGATGAATTAGGCTTCGAAAAAATTGTTGGTTCGACTACGTCGAAACAAGCGTGGGACACATTAGAAAGAGTGTTCAAAGGAGCAGATCGAGTGAAGCAAGTTCGACTCCAAACTCTTCGTGGCGAATTGGAGAGGATACAAATGAAGGATACAAAAATTATATCTGACTACATCACACGTGTGTAAAAGGTGGTGAATCAACTCACCAGAAATGGAGAGACAGTAACTGATGCACGAGTTGTTGAAAAGATCTTCAGATCTTTAACAGACAAGTTTGAGAATATTGTGTGTGCAATAGAAGAGTCGAAGGACCTTTCGACGCTCTCAATCGAAGAGCTCGCTGGTTCTCTCGAAGCACATGAACAACGAAAGATGAAAAAGAAAGAAGAAGCAGTCGAAGAAGCAAATCAAACCAAGGAATCGAACAAAGACGAAAAGGTACTCTTTTCTCAAAACTTTCGAGGAAGAGGACGTGGACGTGGAAGTCGTGACAGTGGTCGAAGTGGTAGAGGTAGCAACTTCGAAAGAGGACAATCGAGCCAACAAAATTGGCGTGGCAGAGGACGTGGTCAAAGAGGTGGTCATTCGAATCATTCCAACTTCGAATGCTACAAGTGTGGGAAGTATGGTCATTACGCGAAGGATTGCAACTCCTACAAATGTTACAACTGTGACAAAGTGGGACATCTTGCAAAAGACTGTCGAATCAAAAAGAAGATTGAAGAAACAACCAACCTAGCCTTGAAAGCTGAATCGAATGAAGGCTTTCTCCTGATGGCTCAAAACGAAATCAACACCAATAATGACAATGTTTGGTATCTTGACTCAGGAGCAAGTAATCACATGTGTGGTTACAAACACCTGTTTAAAGATATGAAGAGAATTGAAGATGGTAATGTGTCTTTTGGAGATGCATCGAAAGTGAAGGTCGAAGGAAAGGGCACAATCAGTTACTTGCAGAAGGATGGCTTGATTGGATCAATCGAAGACGTTTACTATGTACCAGATCTCAAGACCAACATATTAAGTCTGGGACAACTTACAGAAAAAGGTGCTTCGATACTTATGAAAGATCGAACACTGCATTTGAAGGACAAAGTAGGACATCTAATTGCCCGTGTCGAAATGGAAAGAAATCGAATGTACAAACTGAACCTGAGGAACATTCGAGAGAAATGTCTGCAAATCGAAGTGCAAGACAAAGCGTCATTATGGCATATGCGCTTTGGTCATCTACATCATGCTAGTTTGAGAAGGTTGGCGAAAAGGAACATGGTGCATGGACTACCAGACATGGATTTCGAAGGAAAGTTCTGTGAAGAATGTGTGCTCAGCAAACAAACAAGAATCTCATTTCAAAGGAAGGCAGAGTATCAAGCTAAACATATTCTCGAATTGATACATACTGACATATGTGGGCCAATCACTCCAGAATCCTTCAGTGGAAAAAGGTACTTCATTTCTTTTATTGATGACTTCTCAAGAAAAACTTGGGTCTACTTCCTGAAAGAAAAATCTGAAGCATTAGAAGTGTTCAAAAAGTTCAAAGTAATGGTGGAGAAGGAAATAGACAGACACATCAAAGAAATTCGATCTGACAGGGGAGGTGAGTATACTTCAATGGCCTTTGTGAAGTACTGTGAAGAACATGGCATAAGGAGATTCCTAACTGCACCATATTCACCTCAGCAAAATGGTGTGGCTGAAAGGAAGAATCGAACTATTCTTGACATGATTCGATCAATGCTCAAAAGCAAGAACATGTCGAAAGAATTCTGGGCAGAAGCAGTATAATGTGTTGTTTATATTCAAAATAGATGTCCATATTAGAAGTTAGAAGACAAAACACCACAAGAAGCATGGAGTGGACAGAAGCCAACCGTTTCTCATCTCAGGGTATTTGGTAGTATAGCTTATGCACATGTACCATATCAACGAAGAACAAAGCTTGAAGACAAAAGTCAGAAGTACATATTCATTGGATATGATGAGAAGACGAAAGGGTACAAGCTCTTCGATCCCATAAGCAAGAAAGTGATCGTGAGTAGAGACGTTCAAATGAACGAAGCAAGCAAGTGGGACTGGAACAATTCGACAGAGGTTATTGACGCAGTCGAAGAAACAACTGTAGTTGTACCAACAAGTATTCCAACAGAACACGACGAAACTGAAGATGAAGATGAACCTCTACAACCCAAAATGAGAAGTTTGCAAGATTTGTATGATTCAACAAGTGAGGTGCATCTTGTGTGTCTTCTGGCAGATGCTGAAAACATCAGTGTCGAAGAAGCGTTATGAGACAAGAAGTGGAAAAGTGCCATGGACAAAGAGATTAGAGCAATTGAATGCAACAATACTTGGGAGCTAGTCGAATTTCCAAAAGGTAGTCAACCCATTGGTGTAAAGTGGGTATTCAAGAAAAAGATGAATGCTCAAGGAGAAATCAAAAGATTCAAAGCACGACTGGTTGCGAAGGGATACAAACAGAAAGCAAGAATTGACTATGACGAAGTGTTTGCGCCCGTTGCAAGAATGGAGACAATTCGATTACTCATTTCTCAAGCTGCTCAATTCAAATGGCCAATATTTCAAATGGATGTCAAGACAGCATTTTTGAATGGCGTGCTCGAAGAAGAAATCTATGTCGAACAACCACTTGGATATATGAGAATTGGAGAAGAGAAGAAGGTGTTGAAACTGAAGAAATCGTTGTATGGGCTGAAGCAAGCACCTAGGGCATGTAACACACGTATTGACACATATTTCAAAGAGAATGGGTTCGAGCAATGTCCTTATGAACCCGCCCTCTATGTGAAGAAAAATGGAAGTAATTTATTACTTGTTGCTCTCTATGTTGATGACCTTATCTTTCTAAGCAGTGATGTTCAGATGATCGAAGATTTCAAGAGCACCATAACAAGCGAATTCGAAATGATAGACTTAGGTCTGATGAGATTCTTTCTTGGTCTGGAGGTTCGACAAGAAGAAGCTGTAATCTTTATCTCACAAGAAAAATATGCAAAAGAAATCCTAGAAAAATATAAAATGAAGAATTGCAATCCAACTTCAACGCCAATGGAACCAGGTACAAAACTGTCAAAGTTTGATGGAGGAGAACGGGTTGAAGAAAGCAAATATCGAAGCTTGGTAGGTAGCCTTCGATATCTCACATGCACAAGGCCAGACATTTCACTAAGTGTTGGCATGGTAAGTCGATTCATGGAGGAGCCAGTACACACACATTGGAAGGCGCTGAAACGAATTCTAAGAT